CTTCTCTTTCCTTTCTTTCCTTCTTTCTTTCCTTCCTTCCTTCCTTCCTTTCTTCCTTTCTTCCTTTCTTTCTTTCTTTCTTTCTTTCTTTCTTTCTTTCTTTCTTTCTTTCTTTCCTTTCTTTCTTTCCTTTCTTTCCTTTCTTCCTTCCTTCCTTTTTGTTTTGTTTTTGTTTGATGCTAAATCCCCAGCCCTCTGAGGTTGTTTTCTTCCTATTAAGTTTATTTTATATTTTAGATGTTGGCCTCTTGTCATATGTCTGACTTGGAAATATTTCATCCCGTTCTATAGGTTATCTTTTGTTGTTGACAGCTTCCTTTGCAGTGCAGAATCTCACCTTCCTTAAAATTTTAAACCTAACATCTACATGCTTATTAAATTGACCTGTCACTCCTGTTTAACTATTTATTATTATCATCTTGTTGGGTTGTTTTCCCTGTGCATATTTCCTCTCCCCTTTCCCTTTTAAAATTATTACAGGGCCGGGGATTTAGCTCATTGGTTCCGCTTCCTGCCTTATAGGCACAGGGTCCCAAGTTTGATCCCTGGTACTAGAAAAAAAAAATTACAAAAGTAGATAGCCATGGTGGTGCATGCCTTATATTCCAGCACGTGGGAGGCTGAGGCAGGACAGTATAAGGCTAGCCTGAACTACATAGCAAAATCCTGTCTCAAAAAACCAAAAATAAATAAATAAATACACACATAATAAAAGCACAACACGAATCCAGCTGCATTTTGAGTGTTCTAGAATACGGAGCAGAGTATGGCACTCTGGTCCCCATTCCAGAGGGCCCCTCATAGTCCACTTTGCTTCCCCAGAGTAGCCACTGACAATCCTCAGAGAACACGTTAGCCACCGTCCATTCCCCAGGAAGTGTGTGTACAAGTCTGTTTTTAGAGGGGGCTTTATATTCTGTTTATTGTGCATTGACTTCTGTTTTTCACTGGACTACAGCAGAGTCCATCTTGGGAACTCTTTCTGCGTGAGGACATACAGTTACCCCTTTGTTGTTGTCAGTGGTTGTGTAGCATTTCATTTTATGGGTGGTGTGCCTCATTTTAAGTGCTCACCTATTGACGTTAATGTTTTACTCTTTTACCCTTCCAGCGAAGCAGTCCTCTGCAAGTGTGTCTTTGAGCACATGTGCATATGTTTCTGTTGGATCGCTGCCTGGAAGTGGAGTTCCTGGCTCAAAGTGAATGCTATTTTTGGTTTTGATAGATGCTGCCAAATTGTCTTCCCAAAGGAACTCACCAGTTTCACTTCTTACCAGTGGTGTTTAGCAGGGCTTGTTTTCAAACACTTGATAATCTCATTATTTTCATTTTATGCATCTGATAGTGAAAAGTGATATTTGATCATTATAATTTGTGTTCTTTTAGATTGTGTCTCTGTCGATCTGAACTTGTCTGTTTTCTACGTTTTAAGCATTCCTAACATTGCCATTTCTTTCACGACATAGTTTCTTATTTTTTGGGGCTGAATTAATCTGTCTACCTATTTATGTCTCAGTGTAGAGTAGAATACTGTATTTTTTCCATCACTTCATAAAACTTTAAGCAGTAGAGGAAACATTCTTGTTAACTCAGTCTACTATTCTGATAAATTTTTTCTCATAGATGTTTTCTGAATTATATAGTATTCATAAATTTGATTTTTTTCTTTAACATTTATTATAATTTCTTATCACAAAGCAGTAAAATGGGTATATGCTATTCTACTCTGTGCTTTTATGGTAGTTATAATAATTTCTCTATTGATGCATATTTCCACAATGTTCTTGTTGTAAATAATGCTGCCTTCAGCATCTGAGCTTGTTAAAGGCTGTGGGCCAGGGTGGTTTTACTGATGATTCTCTGTAATTTTAGTACTTTCTATCAGTGATTCCTCAATATAGAAATGAGACAGCTGCCTAGCTGTTCTGTCACCCAAACCTAACACTGATACTATCCAATAATAGTAGCAGAAAAGCAAAAACTTTAAACTAGCTCACTTATGAATACAGATGTGAAAATCCAAATTAATTCTCAGATATATTCTCAAGTGGATTCCATCAAGGCTCTGATGGATAACATCTGAATAAAGTATATTCCAAGAAGGAAAGAATGACTCAACGTAAGAAACCTAGTGATAAAATATTTAAGTCATTAAATGAGAAAAACAGTGATTAGCTCCATGGATGCAGAAAATGCATTTAAATTAAACAATCGCATAGCTTTAATAGTGCTTTCAAAAGAAAGGATCTGGATCTAGCCCAATGGTGGAGAAATTGCTAGCATGTGTGAGGCCCTGGCTTCTATCCCCAGCACCACAGTCAGTCAATACAATAAAAAACAAAAAGCAAATAAAAAATAAAAATACTTTGTCAGTACTTTACAGAGTGCGTACCGTGAACCAACTGAAGTGTTATTTTTAGAAAGAGCCAAGGTTGGGCCAGTGCAGTGAGGTATGAAGCAGGAATAAGAATGAAGGCTTTGATAATTAAAGAAAGTGACATGTGTGCTTCATGTATTTGATTCAGATAAAGTGCTCAAACTGTTCTGCTAGTTCATACGCACTCGTGCACGTACCCGTGCACACACGCACTCGAGATGTTCGCTGTGCAGTGTCCTCGACGGCCTGCTCCGAAGACCCCAAAGTCCTCAGAAGCTCGAGCTCTGATACTCAGTGGCATATTTGGGTGTCACCTCCACACATTTTTCTGTGTGTGTTGTGTCCTTCTCTAGATTCCTTCTGCTACCCAGGACTCAGTAGATGCCGTGTAGGGGGTTGTCCACTGCGCTCAGGAAACACACAGCCACAGGGGGAAAGGTCAGCACGGACTCCTGCAGGCGCATTTCTGTTCTGAATGCTTTCGGTCTGCAGTTACTTGAGCCTGAGTTAGAACTCCTGACTGGAGGGCTGGCTACGGAAAGGCACATTTGTCACTTGCGCCTTAAGGCGCCGACGGTGGCCTCCCTGGTGGAATGGTCTCCATTACATGGTCTGTACAGTCCGCCGCCAGCCTAGGGTGGGTGTTCATTACTGGCTTCCGACCGAGGGCTTTGGTTTGTGGGGTTTTCCATGACCATTCAGTGAGCTGGGAACACGCTGAGCGAGAGGCCCAGACAGAACGGTGCCACAGTTATAGGTGAGCGGAAGGGTGCAGAAAGCTCTCCCTGTGACTGTGACCCAGAATACCTGGCCTTGCACAGCATTCGTTGTATGCCCTCCTCGTTGCTCATTTCTGTAGCTTCCACCTGCTGGGCGTCCTTAAGAGCTGTGTCAAGCCTCCCTTCAGTCTTTCAAGTAGCCAGCTGGCCCTGCTTGTTCCTGACTTCAGTCTGTGACACCTCTCTCTTTTCCCTGTTAGCATGTGGAGAGGGCCGAACGTGAACTGCGTCGACAGCACTGGCTACACACCACTGCACCACGCCGCTCTGAACGGCCACAGGTAAGTCCCAGCGCTCTCTCCTTGCCTGGCCCACTCCCGTACCCTTGGGTGTCCTTTATGCTCCCTGTAAGAGTTGGCTAAGCATGGCACTGAGGAGGAGAAAAACTCATTTAGTCTGGACAGAATTCCTGAGTTTGTCTTTAGCGTAGTATGTTTAGATGTCCTGACCCGTCCCCAGCAATCTAGGTTGCGTTTACCTCTCCCTCTGCCTGTCCTCCTCTCTGATGCAATGTTCCATTGTCACACAATGATAATAGAATGAAGATCCAGTTTAGGGTTGGAGTCCTGGGTGATTAACCCTTTGATAAATTGAAAATAGACCGAGCAGCCCTGAGAAACTTGCCTTCATTTGGAGTAGTTATTTATTTACTCCCTTTATTTGCCTGCTGCTATTGTTTCCCCATAAAACCAGCCCCATGAACAAGAACCACTTTGAAGGGGGAAAGCGCATAAATAACCCAGCCTGTTAGCGAGGAATTGGGCAGCCCTTGGGTGGAGAGTCTCCTGGAGAAGGCGTGCTGTGGAGGAGTCTGGGCGAAGGGAGAGGCTTAAGGCCCGAGCTCTGCTCGCCAAGGGAAGGCTGTGTGGTGGCCCAGCAGAGGGGCAGGAGCATGGTGTTGCCCTGATGAGTAGGGCAGCTCAGGTGCAAAGAATGGAGACCAGGGCGTAAGAGAACAGAGGTTAGTAAGGAGTTTGAAGCAAAATATTATAGGAGACGAGCAGTACAAGTTTAGTTTTCATGAGGAGGGATTATTGTAGTCAGTATGGATTTTTCTTTTTTTTTTTCTTTCTCTTTTTCAGGATTGCACCTAGGACTTTACACATGCACATACACCCTGTACCTCTGAGCCACACCTGAAGCCCCTCAGTTTAGATTCTCCAGTGCAAGAAGCAGACCCACATTACACTGCAGTTTTCTGCATTCCTTGTCCAATATTTGGTCCAGCTGCTTTGACTCCAAAAAGAGACCATGATTATTTCCTTCAGCATTGTTTTCTAAAATATATTGAGTGTGATCACTGTGTCCTTTCTATATTCAGCTTAAAGCTAGAAAAGAAATCTATAGAGACTCCTTCCCCCTTACACAGTGGGATAACCTAAGTTAAAGCAAGTCTTGAACTCAAAGGACTGTAGCTTGTTAGCCAAATTCATCTCCCATGCTGTTTTTATTTACAGGGAGGATTTTCTTTGGCCTCATGTGCATGGGGATAATTGTACACTGGTGTCTGCATAATCAGTGGTGTCACCAAGAAGAAAGCCAAGGCCCTCTTTCTGGAGCTATCACATGATGCTATATGTGTCTGGCTCCTGTTTGCAACAACTTTGAATTCTGCTTTGCCTGTCTGCTTTTGTCTCCCACATCCCTACACAATCTGAATAATTCATTCATCTTGTTTAACTGTTGTTATGTAAATCCTGTTCCTAACTGCTGTTTAAACATCACAAATGTGGAAACACTGCAAGGTTTAGACAGAGTTCAGATGGTTGGGTTTTTTGGGGTTTTTGTTTTGTTTTGTTTTTGGTACCAGGGTTTGAACTCAGGAACTCACATTTGCCAGGCAGGTGCTGAGCTGCTGAGCTAAATCCCCAGTCCCAGATGTTTTTAAAGTAATGGAAAATAAATGGATATCAAGAGAGCCCAACAGAGTGTTAATGAGTCTGTGTAGCCCAGCTCAGGGTGGTTCGGCCACTTAGCACCTGCACAGGTAGCCCACGGAACTGGGGAAAGCCAAACAGTGAGCTCAGGGAGACCGAGGGCAGCCCAGTGAGGTCCTGTCCATGAGAGGGCTCTGTGCCGTGCCCATGGAAGGAAAGACTTCTGGGTTCTGCAGCCTCACAGTTGACTTTTGCCTTCCAGGGATGTGGTCGAGGTTCTTCTGAGGAACGACGCGCTGACCAATGTGGCCGACTCTAAAGGCTGTTACCCCCTGCACTTGGCAGCCTGGAAGGGAGATGCCCAGATAGTGCGCCTGCTCATCCACCAAGGGCCCTCGCACACCAAAGTCAACGAACAGGTCGGGAGAAGGGAGGCTCTCCTCCCTCCTCCATTCAGCCTGACGCAGCTGCGGCTGGGCCTGGCCACCCATCGCTGTCTCACTCCTAGAGTGCAGACCCCAGGGAACCAGCCCTTCCATGCCCACAGTGACTCCCTTGTTCTCGCTCCCGCTGCACCCCTTGGGTCAGGGAAATCTTGTATGTGAGGATGCGTCTCATATGCATTTGACTCATGCAGATTCCGAATGGTAGTATAATTACCATAATGGTGCAGTGTATGATGTTCACTGCACATGCAAACTGTGAGATAGTGCAAATCCTGTCGGAATTGCAGAGTCAGCTTCAGACGGGTGGGCTTCATTGGAAATGGTGCTTATGCTACGGGCATGGCAGTGCAGCTTTCCCAGTGTTTGTCGGTCCTGCGTGAGCCTCTTGTTATTTTATGTACACCTGAAGGTGGGGAAGTGGAAATACTTGTGTTACCACTGAAAGATGAATTCAGAGATCAAAAAGGTGTGACCAGAAATGAGGTCAGAGGTGATTCAGTGGGATGAAGGTCATTTCCAGGATGTCCGCAGATGTTCATTTCAGTGTCTGCATACTTTGAAAAGCAGAGATAATTCTTAGAAAATAAGTAAAGCAACACTAAAAAACAAAACACCTTACCGTGGCCCTGGATTTAAGTAGTGTTGAAATACGCTTCCTCTTCTGCCCATGCATTCCTTTGGGGAAGTGCCACTCGACGTGTGCAAGTGTCCAAGCCTCTCTGGCACTCCCTCCCTGGGGTGTGGACTGGGGCGCTGCGTGCCCGGACGAGGAGCTGGGCCCGCAGCTCTGAGCGCAGCAGGCACTTCTCTTGTTGCTTGGACGAAGAAGGGGCTGCTCTTTCTCAGGAAGCTCAGAACAGTTTTCCTCATGACTTCATGAGAGGAGATGGTTAAATGACCTGTAGGATTAGCTCAAGGTTTTTCCTCCCAGAGCAGGAAATTATCCTGGCAAATGTCTGTCAGCAAGACCCATGCCAGGCCTAGCAAGTTGTTACGTTAAAAGCATGACCTTGGTGCTGAGACAGGTGGCTGCTCTCTGAGGCATGAAAAAAATTAGAGGTTTCAAATATCTCGGTTTGGAGCTTGTGTGTATGTGGCTGTTAATCAGCTTACCTTTCCCCTTTGGGGTTCTACTTTCTTGGTAGGTAGCGACAGACACTTACGGTCATCAGCAAGGATGTTGGGCCATAACATTTGGAAAGAAAACTGCCCCTTTTAAGTCTAAATGCAGACGCCCTGACTGCAGCGATAGCCTCTCTTCTCTGGAGGAGATGCGTAAGGAAGCTTGCTTATAACTAATATTCTTCAGTATTGAAAATGCTGCTCACCATTAAAGCCCTCCTCTAAGCAGTTTCCAGCAGCCACTCCTGACCCTGTCTTTGACCACTCTTGCTGGAACACAGCTGCTTGGATTTTCGGGCCACTTGAGTGTGCTAGCTTTTCCTGCTCACAGCTACCTCCTGCCTGGAGTCCGTAGGGACGGAGGGGCACCTGCCCGGGGCTCTGAGTGGGTGGGTAGGGGCCAGCCAGGGCGCCTGCCATTGCTTGGAGAACCGAATGCATTAGATGGTTACAGCACGACATTGATTTATTTAAAACCGCTAATGTGGTTCCAGTTGGATGCTTGGATGGGGGCACAGAGTGTGGGGGTTGTCTTCCCCGTTAACTTCCTCACGGGGATCCGGGGGGCAGATTCGAGTTCTCGCGTTGCACCCCCTCGGGGCTGTGTTTTGCTTTGATATATTTCATCCATTTTATCGTCACATTTTCTTCTCCTCTCCTTTTGTAGAATGCTCTTGAGATCAAAGAACTCAAAAAGCACGGCCCCTTTGACCCCTATATCAATGCCAAGGTGTGTACCTGCCAGGATTCCTCTGCACCACTGCTCATGCTGCGCCTCCTCCCCGCCCCCTGGCTTCCGCTCTGGCCACTCCTCCTCCTCCCCCGGCTGCTGTCCACTCCGGCCCATCTGCTTTTGGCCTGTCTGAGAATGGGAGAATGCAGCTGCAGTGATCTTGGGGGTTATTTTAAAAACCCGTACTAATTCTGGAAAGGTTAGGAACACCAGAAACAGTGGACACGGGGAAATTGAAGAGAAAGTTGTTGCATGCTTAACTTAATGCTGGGATTTTTGAAATCATTGAGATTTTAAAAAGAAAAAGTACTCCAGTAAATTAGCTTACTTTTAAATAAGTGTAGAAAAATGATTAACTTGTACTCTCTGGAATCCAGAACGTTGTCTTAGCCCGCTTTCAAGACCCCCCTTTGAAGTGGAATCTGATTCTGGGTCGGTGGGTCGGAGTAGCCCTGGCGGAGGGGAGGGGAGGACAAGCGGCTCCAGCGTCCCGCCCGCCTCTCTCCTTTCCTGGCCTTCGTGCTCTCTCGTGGTGCTCTGCAGCCGCAGCCTGGCGTCCCCAGCTCACGTCCTCCTCCCGCTCGTCTCCCTTGACCACCGAGGGCTGTGCGTGAGGTGAGGTAGCAGGGCCCGGCAGGCGCTGGCCAGGCAGCCGGCAGCCATGGCCCAATGGCAAGCGGCTCCAGCGTCCCGCCCGCCTCTCTCCTTTCCTGGCCTTCGTGCTCTCTCGTGGTGCTCTGCAGCCGCAGCCTGGCGTCCCCAGCTCACGTCCTCCTCCCGCTCGTCTCCCTTGACCACCGAGGGCTGTGCGTGAGGTGAGGTAGCAGGGCCCGGCAGGCGCTGGCCAGGCAGCCGGCAGCCATGGCCCAATGGCGCACACCCTCTGTGTTTGCACCCAGAGCTGAGGTTTTCTCTTGGACAGCAGTCTGGAGTTTGGCTCAGGCGCTGCATTGTCCACACACAAGGCAGCGCTTTCCTGCTTCTCACCGAGAGGCTGGTTTAGCCGGCGCCGCCTGTCCGCAGGTGTGAAGGCGCCTCTTTTGACGCTCCGCGAATCCTGTCTTCTCTTTTAATTTGTTTGCGGAATAGGAAGATACTGTTTTAGTTGCCTTTTTTGGTGAGGGGAGAATAGAGCAGTAGAGAAGGAAACTCAGGTTATACAGAGGCTTTCTCCTCAGACCGAGTTTGACTTTGGTTTAGGTCGCCTCATTTTGTTTTTGTTGACTTGAGCTAGCCGTGTAACTTCTCTGGAATTAGTTTCCTCTTCTGTAGAATGGATGCTCGATTGGTGTAGGGTTTTTTTTTGTTTTGTGGTACCAGGAATTGAATTCAGGGCCTCATCCATTCTGGGCAAGCAGTCTACACCAGCCCTTATTTTTTGAGACAGACTCACTGACTTTTCTAGGGTGGATTCAAGTTTGTAATGCTCCTGCCTCAGCCTCTCCAGTAGCTAGGTTACAGGCATATGCCACTGTGCCTGGCTTTTGTTTTGGAGTTTTAGTAAAAGAATGCACAGCCAGGCATGGTGGTGCGCACTTTAAGCCCAGCACTGTGGGAGGCTGAGGCAGGAAGATCCTAAATTCAAGCCCAGTCCAACTTAGTCATTTAGCAAGACTCTGTCTCAAAATAAAAAGCAAAAAGGACTGAGGATGTAGCTCAATCACCAGTCCTGCAAAATAATAATAAATAATAATAATATATAAAATAATGTTTGAGATCCCAATTTTTAAAAAGGTACATAGTTTATTTCTCAAGAGCCATTTGAGAATCTGTGTTTATTACTGGTCAGTGATGGTTAATGAATCTCTGCCCAATAAGTCAGGGACTTGTGGTTATTGTTTTCCTAGTCAATCATTTCATTGTCTTATAGAGCGTTGGTGAAAGGATATGACTTTGGTTCTAGAGTGCATTTTCCTGGCCTTTGGTTTTGGACACATAAAAGCAAATTGGTCTAAATGTGGTAAGAACATGCTTCCCAATTTGAAAATACCGCCCTTTGCCTTTCTCCTGCCACCCTGCAAAGCCATCAAGGGGTCTTGCTGGGGGTGCAGAGGCTGCTTTCCCGCTTCCCTCCTGGTGTTTGTCCGAGTCAGTGGGGTTTTAATGGCTTGCCTTATGTTTAGGAATTATTTTGCCAAATTACGTTTGGAAGCTAACTCCTGTCAGACACTGACATCTTAGCTGCCTTTCTGGGGCCGATGTGGTCTTCATGAACCTTGCTGTTCCTCTTCAACACCGGGGCCTTTCTTGTCTTAAAAGGCAGCGCTGTTCAGTCCAGGTGTAAATCATCAATAGCTAAGGTAGCACCTTGAAAAGTATCCATTTCCTTCCTTTTAAAGCAATTTTTAAAAGCTTAACCTGAAAATCACAAAATGAAACAGATTTGTTTTAGGGTAGTTTTGTTTTCCTGTTCAGAATTCAGAGTGTCAGAGTAGGAAGGGCTTTAGATGAGTTGTCTCCAATTCTCTGGATCTTTGAGTATATCAGAATCACCTTGAAAGCTTTGAAAAAGTTTTTTACTATGTCTTGAAAAAAATTCCAACCTAAGGATAATGCAGTGAACTGCAGAGTGGAAATGCCTTTGAGTGCTTGTGTCTTCTTGCTCCTTTGTTAACATGTGGTCCATTTGCTGCGCGCGCGCGCACGTGTGTGTGTGTGTGTGTGTGTGTGTGTGATGGACATCAGGGCTTTTTAATCTTAAATACTTACTGTTAATTAGTTATTCAACCCAAATTTCTTAACAACAAGAACATTCAAGTGCAAGGTCCTGAGTTGATCCCCAGTACCAAAACAAACAAAACATAAAGGACGTTAATTTATAAGACTACAATAAAATTACCAAGTTCAGAAAATTCAGAATGGATGCAATATTGGTATAGGATATAGAATCCATGTTCCTATTTGCCAGGTGGCCCAGGAAATCTTCTAGGGCATTTTTCCCGCCCTGGTCCAGGATCATATACAACATGGAATAGTTCCTCGCCCTTTCTTCATCTTTCAGGACATTGACTTTTTAAGAGCCTGGGCCAGGTGTTTCGTAAAAAGGTGTTTCAGTTTGCCTGCCTTCCCCTGGTGATTAGAACCAGGTGCCATGCTTGGGGCAGGAAGGCTGCAGAAGGGATTTATGACGTTTGTTAATGAATCAGGTCACAGGTCACAGAGTGTCAGTTTCTCATTCTTAATGATGACTTTTTGCTTAATTTGGGATCTGTGGAATTGTTAATTTAAATAATAGTTTTCTAGGCCTCTGCAGTGCCTCTTTGGCAAGTCAGGTTGGACCAACTTGCTAGTTGTTTTTAAGCTTGCCCATAATTGCAAAATGAAGCTAGTCTGAGAACCACCAAGATTTTAAAAGCTTTAGCAGAGCAGCTTTTTGCTGCCTTTATCGCCTGAAAAGTCAGCCACCTGTCCTTTATTTTAATGACTTATTTGTTTGGTTTTCCTGGAAGCAAACAGAATTGGTGGCCTATGCTTGGACTTCACTGGTTTGCTGTTTCTTATGTTTGCTCGCCACCTATCTTAGCTTCCATGCTTCGGTCAGAGTTCTGCTCTCCAGAGTCTGACAGAGTGGTGAAGAGCACTGAGTACTGAGTAGGTCTAACTTGTTCTTTGAATGGTGGGCTCATTTCTCCTGTTTCTCCTGTGCCTTCTCCATCTCAGTGGGTCCCTTTCCTTCTTTCCAAGTGCAGTCTGTTTCTAGCACTTCTGCAGGGAGCTGTGGCCCAGGCTGTGTGCCGTGGGTAACTGTGCCCTCAGCTGTAATCAAAGCCCTGGGAAGTGCTGGTCCTGACCTGAATAGTTCCAAGAAGAGAAAGGCCAAGGAAATGTGTGTTTCTGTATGGTTTTCTTACTTGTACTCTGTGTGTGTGTGTGTGTGTGTGTGTGTGTGTGTGTGTGTGATTCACAATGGAGTATTCAGTTGTAGGGAGTAGGCAGAGAGATCCTTTTTTTCTTAGAAGTTCTGAGCATAGCAAAGAAAAATGAAAGTGATGGGTTGTAAGATGGGTAGGAGTGAAGCATTTATGAAGAGAAGTTGGGTGAAAATTGGAGTTTTTTAATCTTAACTCCCTTCTCCCAGTCCAGACTCATAGTGGTATAGTACTGGATCTCTCTCTCTCTCTCTCTCTCTCTCTCTCTGTAACAGTGCTGAGGATTAAATCCAGACTACTGTATACACTAGGCAAGTACTCAGCCAGTGAGCCCTTCTGATTTTTTATTTTGAGACAGACTCTAAGTTGCCCAGTTTGGACTCAAACTCATGATCCTTGTGTCTCAGCTTCCCAAGTAGTTGGGCTGATGCCGTGAACTCTTGGGGTGATGTGAGTGCCCACAGTACTACTTGAAGGTGTGCAATGGAAGGATTCCAGATGATTAGCAGTGTTTGCCTCTCCTTGGAGTCCTCCCTTTGTTGTGGGTCACGAATCAATGCTTAATGACCTCATACACAGATAGTTGTCAAACTCAAAGAGGAAACTGAAATATGAGCTCGCCGTGATGGTGTATTCAGGGGTAGAGAGCTGTACGTGGTCCCTAAAGATGTAAACCCCAGAGGATAATTGCTAGACCAGGCCTGGTGAGACCGAAGCACCTCAAGGTGCTTCCTCCACTGTGAATTTCCACGTAATTTTCTTCAGAGATGTGGTTGCACCATTTGATGTAAGGCAGGGAATTTGCCGGGCAAAGCAGGGCAGCTGTGTGGCAACTGTCTTTGTTCTGGAAGGTGGGGCCACTCCTAGCCCTCAGAGCCCTCTGCATGGTTTACAGTTTTATATTTTTTTCTTCAGACCCTAATGCCATACTTTTTACAGAATCAAGTACAAATTATTCTGGATGTTGGGGGACAATTTGAATATGGAGGACACAGTACTGTTTGCTTCAGAGTGTACAGAAGTTTTTCTGGAGTGGAATTTTAATAAGAATAAGCTGGCATCTTGGCCCTCGCTGTCTTGCTATTGTTTTTTTTGGTACCGGGGATCGAACTCGGGTCCTTGTGCTTGCGAGGCAGGCGGTGGAACCACTGAGCTAAACCCCCGGCCCCTGTCATGCTATTCTTGGGCTGCAAAACCTGGAGAACTCACTTAAGCTTCTGCAGGCTGCCACTGTGGCCAGACTTGCTCTGCAGAAAGCTCACGTGATGTTGATGTAGCTGTGTTGTCGTCAGAAGGACGAGTTATGCTCAGGAAGGTCAGGCTACAGCTTGACAGGAAGTGGCCATTCCGAGGGGGTGGTTTGTTAAGCACAGGAGCCGGGGGAATTGGTTTCTGCCCAGTGTTTCTTCTTCCTCAGACCTCTGGGTTGGTGTGGATTTGCCCCTTGGGCACTGTCGCTGCACTGCCTGGGCCCCGCACTGCTCCCTCTACCCTCTGTTTATTTGTGTGCCTCTGTCTCTGCATGTGCTCCTGCTACTATCTTTTCTGTCCTTATTTTCACATTTTCTCTGCTGTCATTCTGGCCTTTTGAGGCCCTCCTCCCAGCAGCTCTGGATATTTCTGGTACACGTGGTATAGCTGGAAAAAAATGATGCAGTCAAGTGCAGATCAAAAGCAGAGGAATTGCATGCATGTGTGGGTAACTCCTAATCTGTTACTTTTAAATGTCATTAATAGAATTAAAGCAATCATAGAAATAGTTAATGTTTACCTTTGACTGCTGAAAGGTGCACAATACTGACTTGGTGGACAGGCCCCTCCTTAAGCTTTGTTTCCCAAAAGTGACAGAAGCTTCCTGAGTCAAATCGAGAATCTCAAAGTCTATGGGAGAATTACTTTGATTCACGCTTCTCCAAAGGGAGCGGTCATAGAAACTGTTTCTACTCTAATTACATGTTATCAGTAACAGTAGAAAGTCGTAATCAGAATGACCAGCATTTTGCTTCTGGTGATCGATAAAGCACAGTTTCCCATTTCATTCTAGACTCTGGCTTGAGACGGAGTTGGCATTAGAGGCCCACGGTGTGAGTGTGAATCGATGGCAGTGTCACCTCGGGATACAGTATTTTGCACCTCTCACACCCGCTCCTGTGTGCTGGCTGCTGTTTTAATGAATTGGCTCCTGCATGCATTGGCTGGTGGTCAGGCAGGGTCCCCTGTGCCCCATGACTTAGCCCGGTCCTTCCACCTGGGAGGTGGCTGTTGTCTGATCCCCTGAGAGTGGTTTTGGTTGGCTGATTGATTTGCATGCAAGAAGCTACAGAGGAAACAAAGCTTGTGTGAAGGGCAGTGGGTGGTTGACAAATCCAGGATCAGACCCACAGGGCTGAACAGATACAAATTATTGTGAAACAGTTGAAGTTTAAAATGAAACGATGGCAGTGATATGCTCAGTATTCACCTGTGCCAGGACGTCTGCCCAGTGCCCACCACGTTCCCTGTTCACTCTCCTGGTGGTCTAGAGGTACGTCCTTCAGAGCACACCTGAGACTGCAGATGTTTTGGGGTGACCGACTGCTTCCCTCTTGCAGGAAGCAGGGAAGATGTGACTGATGGGTTTGCGGGGAGGAGCCTGGATTCTGGCTTTGGTCAGTCCTCCAGTATTGCTGCTATTCTTCTCATTTAAATTTCAGCAGTTTTATGTGTGAATATCCCCGCCATCTGCCAGCCCCCAAGTCACCTCTCTGATATGCTGTGTGTGTGTTAACCCTTCAGAACAATGACAACGAGACAGCCCTGCACTGCGCCGCGCAGTATGGCCACACGGAGGTGGTAAAGGTGCTGTTGGAGGAGCTCACGGACCCCACCATGCGCAACAACAAATTTGAGACCCCTCTGGACCTGGCAGCGCTCTACGGGCGGCTGGAGGTGGTGAAGATGCTGCTGAACGCCCACCCCAACCTCTTGAGCTGCAACACCAAGAAGCACACGCCCCTGCACCTGGCGGCGCGGAACGGCCACAAGGCTGTGGTCCAGGTCCTCCTTGATGCCGGCATGGACAGCAACTACCAGGTAGCAGGGCTGCTGCTCCTCCCAGCACCAGGGACTCAGTCTTTTCGGGGAAGGCTCTCATACCGTGCTGCTGGGCTGTGTTCTGATTAGCACGTTTCCCGTCGCCTCTCAGGTGCTTCTTCCGTCACCTTGCTTTAGTGTGAAAGTCCAGAGACAGACGAGTTCTCCTCACGAGTGTGTTCGTTTTCTGGTTTCTTTGTAGGGGATGAGATGTAGTCATTAAACCCCGAAAAAACGTGCTAGTGGACTCTCAAAATTAGAAAAGTTTCATTATCTGCCTACAAATGTGTCCCCACTGCCACCTTTTGCACCTTCAGTCTCATCAGTGTAGCATTTTTCCTTCATCGTTGGCCTTCCTCGCTCAGATGAATGGTCCCTGGGGCTTGGCACAGGCCAGCCCTCGTTTCTTTTCTCGTTACCCGTTCTACCCAGGAAGGTGGTGTTCTGGGAAGTGTCACTGATAGATGAGGAATGGTTGCTCGTGTGTGGCCTGCTGGCGGCACACACACAACCTTGTCTATGGCCCGGGATTGTGGTTCTGGAATCCAGACCAGAAAAGTCGGAAGGATAACGGCAGAGGGCTGGGTGTAGTTTACTGTCCCATCGCTCCCTGTCCGCGTCCCGTTTGTCACGTGGGGCCGCGCTGAGCTGTTCTGATGACGGCCTGCTCTGCGCTCTCGTTTGCCTTCCAGACGGAGATGGGCAGTGCTTTGCATGAGGCTGCTTTGTTTGGCAAGACCGATGTGGTGCAAATCCTGCTGGCTGCAGGTGAGAGGTCGGCAGTGCTCTTGTCTCCACAGCATGCTGGGATGGGATTGTTTCTCCTTCGCCTCCCTGGAGGGGGGTTTTTGCTGGCTGCATTTGAACCCAGTGTATCTGTGTCTCTGCCGGTTGGTTTTAAATGTGTGAATTGTTTCTAAATAGCTGGATTAAATGGCTGTGGATAAAAACTACTGGTCGCGCTGCTTGGGATCCTTAGGCATCCTGGAATGTGATCTCCTTTCAGTTTAGCATAAAAATGCTCACTCCTCCGGTCCTCCCGGTGTCCTTTCTAGGAATCGATGTCAACATAAAAGATAACCATGGGCTGACTGCCCTAGACACTGTCCGGGAGCTGCCTTCCCAGAAGAGCCAGCAGATAGCAGCACTTATTGAAGGTATCCGTCCACCCCGCAATCTGGGCGGCTGGAGTCGTACAGCTGAGCTGAGGCATTTGTATTTGGTGCAGCTCTGTTTATTTTTTCTTCTATTTTTAATCTTTCCATGTAGATCACATGACTAGAAAAAGAAGTGCAAAAGACGTAGATAAAACTTCCACACCGCAGCCACCTCTCCGCTCCGGCCTGGACTCCATAGCACAGAAGTCTCAGGGTGAGGAGACTCTTGCCTGCCGGGAGTGGGGCGCCTCAGCTTGGAAAGAGTTGAATATTCTTGGGCAGAATGGAAAATCCTCATTCAGATAATAATGAGTGAGGCCTGTGAGCTCTTAGTAAGTTTATATTCAGCTTGCTTTTTCTGACTGCCATATGAAGTCTCACTGGCCGTGGCTTGCGCCTTTGCCTGCAGCCCCTTCTTTCCTACTTTATTTTGTTCTCCACCTGCACAGTTGGCTCTGGAATGGGATTAACAGGCTCGTGTCAAGATGAATTCAGGTGTAGGTGAATACACATTTTTTATACACACTGCAGGGCCCGGCACAGTCGGCCCACGGCAGACGTGTAAGCGTGTCTGTTGGCTGGCCGATGTGTCTCTTGGGGGTGTGTTTAGCGATGTATTGTCTGGCCAGCAGAGGTGGCCTGGGTGCTGACCCGGGCTGTCCAGCCCATCCGTCATTAGCCAGGATCTCTTTCTGGTGAGCTGAGCAGCCTTTGAGGGCCTTGCTGTGATGGGTGACAGAGACACCTTTCCCCAAACACACATAATAAGTAAGGCAAGAGAAGGAGAGTGGCGCCGGACATGCAAACAGGAAGGCGTCCGCAGAGACAGGGTTCCAGTGCCCAACCTGGCTCCGCTGCAGAGTCCTCGGCTCCCTCCACCCTGCACTTTTTTCCTTGACCTCATAATCTGCTGGTAATGGGATTTAACACACTAAGTGCTTAGCTTTCAAGGATTTTACACTTGCAGTTTTGACTACACACAAGCCACCTAGAGAAGGTCAGTTTCTCTAACAGTTCACTGTTTTGGGGTTCAAATTAGCATCGCACAGGCTCTGAGGTTGGGAGCCGTCTAACAAGTGAGCCCCATGGCCGCACAGAGCCTGCCGTCCTCTACTTGAGCACGAGGAGGCGCTTAATATAGGTTTCTTATGTTTTTCAGTTATACTTTGCTGTATTTTATGGGCTAAGTTTATGCTCGTACCATTTGGGTGTATTTGGGACCTTTATAAAGGTCTTGGAAGAGATCCCTTATAGATGTTGAAAGTTTTTTTTGGAACCAGGATTTGGTACTCACGACCCTGTGCTTGCGAGGCAGGCGCAGTGCCCCTGAGCTAAATCCCTGGCCTGAAAGCTTTCTTTTTTTCTTGTTGTTTTGTTCCAATACTGTGAATCATACCCAGGGCAGGGTTCCTGATAAGCAAGAGCCACAGTCCTGAACGGTACCCCCAGCCCCTCCCTATTGAACCAGAGAAAAATCTGTTTAAATCTCAGGGTATGAAGAGTTGCTGAAAATCCGCATTATTGATTCCTGCCCCAGAGCAAAGTCGTCCTTTTCCTGTCTGGGTCACTGTTGAGTTCAGATCGCTGAGAGGCTTGGGGGTGGAACCTGAGATTTTGCCCCCATTTATTGACTGACGTGCCCTCCGCCTTCCCCAGGTGACACAGAGAAAGTGGTGACTGAGCTGATCATCGATTTTGATACCAGCGCCGAGGAAGAGGGACCCTACGAGGCTCTGTACAATGCTGTCTCCTGCCACTCACTGGACAGCTCGACCAGCGGCCGGTCGTCGGACCGAGAGTCCACGAGCAGGGAGGCTGAGGCTGCTGGCACGAGGACTGCCGGAGTGAGGCCGGTATGTGGGGGACCCTGGCCCCTCATTCTGCTCTTCCTCACGGGGCTCTGCCACGCCCCTCTCTCAATCACAGTGGCAAAACTATAAGGCAACACAGAGGAGGGATTTTGATTTTTCATTTTTAGAGTAGCGGGTTTGGGTCTTGGCCTCTCTGGAGAGTAGAAGTACACAGCGTGTTCCTGTCTGCTCTGAGTGCAGGCGCCCCTCCCTGGCCCTCAGGGCGAGAGCCATTTGGATTTGGGCGGGTTCTGTATTCACTGGGGTTATAGAAAGGCTCGTCAGATTGTGTCCTTCATCTGTGGAGGTCCTCATTTATCCAATTGTAACATCTCCAGCCACTGAACTAACAGAGTGAGGATAACGCAGTGCTTTTCTTCCTCAAGGGTCACCTCGCAGACTTACCTGTCTTGTCTGATGCTGGCTTTTACTTCCAGGCTTGTATGTGGCTCTTGAGCCCCGTACTCTCTTCCCTAGGGCTATGCTCTGAGCTTAGAACCGAATCAGTGTCCCATTACCCTCCCTTCTGCATTGCCAGGCATTTCCAGGCTTGGAGTGCTGCTCCTTGGCAGGGGTTTCACTGACAGGACCCCAGTGCTGAACCCACCGTGGGACAGGTTCCTGTGGTAGCTGCCTGTCCGGCATATGACGGTCTTGATGCTCCCCTGGCCTCTGGGTAGTCCGTGCTCCTTCCAGGTGTGCCCTGGGACTGACCTGGGGTTTCTTGGAATGTTCTTTTTTTGGGAGGCCCTTTACTCTGCCCTGCTGTGCTCTGCAGCAGTGCCAATGTGTCAGTAAGGATCCTGGAGAGCCGCCTGTCTTGTGGTTGCCCACCAGAGTGGTGTTATCAAGGGTGGTGACAGAGTCCTTGTGAGTGGTGAAAGCAAATGCAGACCTAGCACCATTAATGCAGCGCTTTGTAGACACAGCTGGGTCTTTCTCCGTCTTTCATTCTTAGCCACGAGTGAATTAAGCAAGGCCATCTGTGGAGGAAGCGTTTCGTCAGATGGTACTTACAGGTGATGCCCATTAGGGGGAGCCGGAACCCTGCCAAGTGGCAGCACCTAGGAAGCCAGCAGCCCAAGGTTGTGCTGAGTGGGACTGAGGCTTCTCGGAGTGCTCGCCTCGGCATTCACTGCTGCGTCTTGTGGCTGTTCGTCTCCCTAGCCCTGGTAATTAACAGTGGCCAGAGGCGAATGCTGATGGTCTGACCCCCTTGGTCCATACTGGGCACCTCTGTTTCCTTCCCTGTCCCCGACGGTCACGCCACCTGCAGGAGCCTCTCGTACTGTTCTCTCTAGGCCTTTGGACCTTTGGAAGGATTGGGATGGGCCCTCTCTGTTCTTGCTGTGTTTCTTTCTGCTCTGCTCGGCTGCTTGTGTCCCCAGGTTGGTTTACAGTGGAGGACGTGGCCCTGTGCCTTTTGCTGTGCCCTTCCATACGCCGTGTGCCAGGACCAGGCTCGTTCCTGTGCTTCAGAGCAGAGGCATGTGAGGAGCGCAGAACTCAGTGGGAAACCTGATCTGAACGGCTGTGTTTGGTTGAGCACACAAGGCTCGCTGCCGCCTGGCTCCAGGGCTGTGGAGATGACTGATTTGTGGAGGTGCAGCGCCAAGCATGTCCCAGCAGAGATCACAGGTGCTGAAACCTAATGCTGGTAGCTCCCCACGTCAGAGAGACATCTTTCTTTGTAGGTCTCTCTGGGGACCTCCTGTCATGCAGCACTCAGCTCCACCCTGGCTTCTGAAATGCTCTTGTTTTAGCAACATGGTGAACTAACTGCAGGCTGAGGAAGGGCCAGCTCCTGGGCAGCCCCACAGCTTTCCATGGGAAATGAGGGCTGAAGCATGACTCGGGCTTTGGGATAAATAGAAACAGAGCTGTGGGCACTGCAGGTGCAGCCGGAGCCTCTCCCCGGCCCCCAGCTTCCAGGTTTCCTTCACAGGGGTTGTTCTGTGTATTCCCGAAATTGTCCACTCGGGCTCTGACTGGCCCACTGTCTCCTCCGCAGTGAGTTTCTTGCTCTAGGGTGGGAGTGGCAAGTGAAAGCCCACCTACACTGCCTATTTTTGTAAATAAAGTTTTATTGGAAGACAGCTGCACTCATTTATTTACATATTTCCTGTGGCTCCCTGTGTACTCAGATGGCATAGTTGGCTTTAGAACCTAAAATATTTACTTCATGGCCCTTTAAGAGTAAGCCTGCGAGCTGGGCATGGTGGCACACACCTGTAATCCCAGCACTCAGGGAGGCTGAGGCAGGAGGATGGCAAGTTAGAGCATAGCCTGGTCACCTTAGCAATTTAGTGAGCCCCTTTCTCAAGATAGAAAATGGGCTGGGGTTATAGCTCAGTGTGAAGGGCCCAGATTTAATCTCTAGTATTATAAACACCCACTGGAAAGCTTGCTTTATGGCAGAGCTGACAAATACTCTTTTTTAAAATAGCCTGAGGTGACATAGTTTTCAAGTACTGATGATAAGTGATATTCATATCGAAGATGACTTGTTGTATTGCCCAGGTTGGCCTCAAACTCCAGGTGGGCCTCAAACTCCTGGCCTTAGGTAACCCTCCCGCCTCTGCCTCCCAAGTGGCTGGGACTGTAGGTGGGGCTGCCACCCTAGCTAACAGGTCAGCTTTGAGCTTTTCTAGTAGAATGGGATAGATGGATGTCACAACACTCAAGTCTGAAAGGGCTTAATATTGTGACCTTGGTTATTTTTCTCATTATTTCTCTAATCGCCTTGATCTTAGAACTATTTCATGAGTTCATTCTCTTGATCTGAAGAGTCCTCTGTATAGAGCAGTCTGAAGATTGAACCCTAGATTTTCATTTCCCTGAAGGTTTTTTTTTTTTTTGGTACCGGGGATTGAACTCGGGACCTTGTGCTTATGAAGCAGATGGTGGAACCACTGAGCTACACCCCCAGCCTTCCCTGAAGTTTTGAAGGACACTTTCTCACAAGGCGGTTATGAGCTGTCCGTGCTACCACTGCTCGCTGCGATCTGAGGTGTGGAGAGGCGTTCATGGGCACCGGAGCGCGTGCTGGTGGAGCTGTGCGCACACAGGGTCTTCCTCTGTCATGTTTGCTTCTCGGGAGAGTTCTGTACCTTACTCGATTTCGTTTCCAAGGTCTAAAATAAGGGTAAACTAAGAAGTCAGATACTTGAAGGTGAGATAGTAGAATATTTTTTTTTTCTTTTGTAGAGGGAATGTCCACCGCCTCCAGCAAAGCCACCACCTGATGAAGAGGAGGAAGATCGAATAGATAAGAAGTATTTCCCCCTGACAGCTTCTGAGGTAGAGGATTGAGCGTTTATTCCATCACTGAAATATGAGCTTGTCGAAAAGTGCGGCAGTGTGTGCTTAAAGAGTTTGCTTTTTTATTTTGTACCAGGGATCAAACTCAGGACCTTGGTGCTGTGCCGCTGAGCTACATCCCTGCCCTCTTTTTTTTTTTTTCCTTTTCTTTTTTTATTTGAGGTGCTGGGGCTGTGCTCTCACTTTCTCACTTTCTTAACCTCTTTGGTGAGGAGCAATAGCTTTCAGACTCACCCAGAAGTACTGAATGTAAACTTGGCTCACCAGCTGGCGGGCGAGTCCTGAGCCACCATGCCACATGGGAAGCAAGGTATGCACAGCTCTCCCGCCTCCACAGGGAGACGGTGTCACCTGTGCAGTCCCGACAGAAAATGTTGCATCTCCTTCACTCTCTTCTGTCTAGACTGGACAGGCTCAGTGGTTCTGTCCCAAGTGCTTTTTTTTCTGTTTTTGCATCTTCCTCCTTCATCACATGTAGGTGCCACACTACAAACGTGAACTGAGTCACAGAGACTGTGTTAGGAAGGAAGTAGCCTGGTATGGGAAGGACAGACAAAGATCAGAGGTTATGCCTGCCTTTTACACAAAGAAATGTCATGGGGAGTTAACTATCTCACTTGGGTTTTGAAAAAAATTTTGCTTTCTCTGATCTTTCATCTTTAAAATGCTCCTTTAATACCTCTTACCAGAGAGTATATCTGTTCAGTGTTTATTCAAAAAATCTTGTAATTTTAATTTTTTTTTTAGCTTATGCAGTACGAGTAGTTGTTAATCTTTAATTTTAAAATATCAGCCAGTGTGAGCCAGTTAATTCACCTCATCGCTTCCCCTGTAGAAGCTGGAATTCATTGCTTCGTATGGTCTTGGCCACAGACCACCAGTAAGGCGGGCTCCCTTACTCAACAGAAACGTGGGGAACCAGAAGGGTGGCGTCAATTTAGTAAAGTGTATAAGCGCAAGGAAACTTTTTTAAAAATATTAACATCAGGGAGATAGGGTAGGATTCCTTTGCTAGGTGTAAATCCTCTGCTTATTTCTTTCTATTCCCAAATTTAAAAATGCTGCTTATTATGTCTCAATCAAGGGTTTGTAGAACTGCAGCCTCTCCTTACTGCCTCTGGGTGGTAGTACGTTGCTGGCTGATAGACATGCATGTAGGAAATCCCACCTGTTTTATATGGATTGAGGCTGGCTTCTTTATTTCTTTGCACGGAGAAGCCCAGTAGTATGGAGCGGACTCGGTAGGGGCTGGGTCTCCATAAAGCTGTGCGCTGCCTCTTTGACAGGGACCCGAACTGAAATTCCTAATCCCTGAGGATAGGAGCGTGGCTCAGACAAACGTCAGAAGCCAGAACTCTCCGTTCTCCCAGGACTCTCTAACGCACGTAGCGTCACAGGAAGTGTTGTGCAGTGGCAGAACGTGGTGGAGGAGTCTGGCTCTCCTCCTGTGTAGCGGGGAGTAGAGACTCACCTTCTGGAAC